TTACCATCATAAGTTAATTATTTCCTTTAATAAAATTTCGTGTAAATTTAATTCTTTTACGAACTGCGCTTTCGACACCTCGTCTTTCAAAGAAAACAGCTTGGCTAACTAAATAAGAAGGGAGATATTTAGCCTTGATATTTTGGGATACGTCGGCGGCGACGCAACAACGTGACATAATTTCGACTTATACATCATGTATTCACTTGAACGTGGGATTCATGCAAACTATTCGTCGTGTGCGCTATCAGACATCTCTGAAACGATGAAGAGCGACTGATTTATCATGCGCATATATCACAATCGTGAGCAAATGTCAAATGAATATGATAATACACGTAATAGTTTCTCTTTACGCAGAACGTGCTCGCTTTTTGTGATCACGCGGGAAGCATGATATGTATTTATAGTGTATGTATAGATTAACCGAAACGAAAACGAATGCTGAAGAATTTGCCCTTGACACGTGTAAAGAATAACAACGTGCGAGCGATGTATTTTATTAATGAATACATTTATTTTCAACACGGCGGACTTCCGACTTCGTAGTATTTAATTATCATTTCGTGATTAAAATTAAAAATATTATTCAATCATCAATATTATTTCAAGATATTATTTCGTGATCAAAATTAAGTTTTAAATTATTTATCCATATCAAACGAACTTTTTGCTGAAAAATTCATCATATTATCATCATATTTATATATATTTCTTTTAATAATTATGTATTAAAATAGATATATAGAAATTATATATTATACACATTACAAACTATAAGCATCAGTATACAGTATACCTATCAGAAATATAATGGCCGTTAATATTATTAATGCTAACTCTGAAAAATAAAATTTGCCGTGTAAATAATTTTTGCAATACAACCGAATAATAAACTATTTACTAGAGAATAAATCATTTTATAAATTAATAAAAACTCAAATATAAGCGGCTGTCCTATCCTCAACATGGCGGCAAGTCATGTGTTATTTTCTATTAAATAAATCTTACGATTAAAATGTGTCGTGACCTATGACCTCAAGTATCGCCATGAAAAAGAGATCGTACATGTGACTTGAGTGAAGAGAAGGATTCGATATGTGTGACGGTTAACGGGATAAATGGGACTTTTTCAAATAGTTAATACAACGTAATATAGTTAAAAAAAATTGAACTTGAATACATGATGAATAATAAATTGTTCGGATAAATTTTATCATTAAACACTCTCATTAATTTTGATTCTATTACACACAATCATAAAAATTATTAACTTTCTTAAATCTTTTTACGATAAAATAATATTTTGTTGAGATTTGAATATACTTTTCTATAATGCATATAATATCACTTTTTAAGATACAATTGTCACATTTATTACAACCATATGTAATATGACCCATTTTTAATAATTTGTGAATTAAGTTTATGTGAAAGGGATATTACGTAAAAGAGGACTATTTTTATGAATATAAGAGGCACATATTATATCATTAGAATTATTACATTTTAAAAATGCAATACATAATTTGCCATCATATTAAATAAAAACACAGCTTACTGTATGATCCTGTATGATCTCTTCAGTATGATACACGCAGTACAAGTCATTCCTTTTAATTTTGCCTTCTGCAATTGTATGAATTCTATCTTGTATTGTATTAATTCGACTAACTATCTTGTATTGTATTAATTCTGTATATTGTATTAATTGGACTAACAATCAGTCATAAAAGTTATTTAAATCCTACAGCAATACTGCAATAGAATAAAAGAGACCAATAAGTATAAGTAAATTTAGAAATAATCGAGCACCAGATTTATTACAAGAGACACAAAAAAAATTTAAGAGTTTGATTGACTGTCTTACTTATTTTTTGTTTTCCATTCCACGCTTTATAATACTTTTATGTGCGAAGTACACTATATCTCTGCGCTTTACTTTATGCAATGAAATAATATACAAATCAATCAAGTTTTCTTGTGTTGATGCAATAAAAAAGGAACAATAAATATCAATAAATTTAAAAAGAATCGTGCACTAGATTTAAAATATAATCACATACGCGCGCACATGTGTATGTAATTTTATAGTGCGAAATGCAGAGAACTCGTATGATAAAATAAAAAGTAAAAATATCGTTAGCTACGATAGCTATAATATAATAAAAATTTCAGAAAACAGCATTCGTATTAAATATAACAGTCATTTACAAATTCATAATAAAATATCAAAAATTAAATATCCGTTTTAGAAGTTAATATTATTTGTGTTTTTTTCGAAAAATACAAAATAAAAAATATTATAAAAAATATAAATATTATAAAAAAAATATAAAATATATAATATGTTTAAAATATATTAAAAATATTATAAAAATTATCTTGTATGCAAAAATATCTTTAATATTTTCATGTTTAATAATATAATTTAACAGAAAAAAATTAAAATGACTGCCATTAAAACTAAATGCTAACTTATTAGCGATCACAGTAGAGAAAAGGCCAAGGCTGATAATTCCAGAAAAAACGAACATTATTTTACATTCCGGCGCTATTTTTTTTTTTTTGATGTTATGTAATATGAATGATGTGAATAGTTTAGAAATCTGCTTTTCGTATTGCTCGCACTTTCTGCATTTAGATTTTTCTCTTTTTCTCTTTCTTTAACATTCAAATATATATATTTATTTCGTTTTAAATGTAAAAATTTTTAGGGACCTTAAACAACATGAACAGATCTTATTATACATTCTGCGTTCAACTGAAAATAAGGATATATGAAAAATAATACATTACAAAAAAATGTTTTAGGAATATTTTCAATATATATATATAAAGTATCAACAGTACATTCAATATTGATATTTGAATAAGATATATATTGTTTGGAAAATATACAAAAAGAAATATTTAATATTTTATCAATATTTTATTAAATATTATTAATACATATTAATTATTGAAAATTTTGTAACATTTATTAAAATATTATTTTATGTTTAAAAATATTTCAAATATTTTCTCCTTTTTTATTTCTTTAATAGACAACATTATGATAATCACATGTTGATTGCAATAATTAATTATTGCAATCAACATGTGATTATCATGAGTTGACAAAGTAACATCAATAATTTAACAGAAAAAAAAGATTACCTGCGATTAAAATTATGCTACTTTCTTAGCGATCACAGTAGAGAAAAGGCCAAGGCCGGTAATTCCAGAAAAAGCAAACATTTTATATTCCGGCGCTATTTTATATTCCGTTCATCTTTTTTGCATATTATACATATGTAATATGTGAATAACTTAGAAATCTGTTCGTGTTGCTCGTATTTTCTGAATTTAGACTTTTCTCTTTTTTTTTCTTTAACATCAAAATATATATATATATTTATCTCGTTTTAAGTGTAAAAATGTTTATCGGCTCGCAAGCAACATCACATACATTTTTTCTCATATGCATATTCACTTATCCTCATAATATGTATTATCATCATAATCTGATTACAAGACACATATCACGCTTCGATAAAAATCAGATGCACATGATGTGATAAAATCTGATCGTCAGGCATTGCTGTCTGGGTATATATTGTGACGTGACGCTTTTTAAGCTCCGTCACGATTTCCCTGCCGAGGGAAAACAGCGTGCGCGGGGTCGTCTCTCGCGCCTGAGAGGAGACTACCGCTACTTATTATTCAAATGTATAGACTTGTGTTTAGCGAAATTTAAGACCCGCGATGCGAATACGGCTACTGTGCGTGCGTGCAGGATCGACCATTTGTAAAAGAAGCTACCGCAAGATACCAAGGATACCGAGAAGATACCGGAGATACCGCAAGCATCAGGTCAAGTACTAAGGTCCCGCGCCACCGCTCTTAGTAATGTCAGGGAGATTAAATCTGCATATTTTTCAGATGTAAAAAGAAATGGCAGCGAATCCAGACGACGGTGCCGAAAGCAACTTTACAGGCGGCCGACTGGAAAACAAAAATCTCGGAGGGAGACGCGGATACGGCCTGGCCAGCCGGTCACGTCCCCGAGAATCGGCACCAGCACGAGCACCGTCGCGGAGGAATACTGGGCCCCTGCGTAAGGGCAACGCCGTAAAACATCAGCAACTTTCGAGGGGGCGGAGAATCCACCCCATTTTTCCCGGAATCGACAAAATGCGCGGAAGATCGGCGCGGGATTCGAGGGCAGACCTCCTTGCGAGCACAGACGAAGATCGTCACTGTACGGTGAGCTAGTGTCCTGTGCACATCAGCGAGAACCTAGAAGAGACGACCCTGAGGGAGCAGCCACCTGAACAAAATTGTAAGCCGTCGCACAAGTAGCCGATTAGAAATTTTCATCCGGGATCAGCTGGTGTCATCGTGCCGAGATACCGTCGCAGGGCGGTTATCATATCGTAATAAAGATTACCGTGAAGTTTGATACTTGTACCGTAATTATCGGTAACAACTTTTAACTTTTAACACATAATAAAATGTGTACTAGTCAATGTAAAACTCGCACGAACAGAAGAATGTTACAATTAACTGCCAGTAATCAGAGAAAACAAAACACATTTTTTAACACCTCAAACTCATATATTATTGAGACAAGAAATACAAACCGCGTGTAATCCACTTGCATCCTCCATGTATATTCTAGGAGATTCGTGATATAAACTCGTACCTAAACCTGTAGAAACTTTACCCCCGACAATCATGAAACCTTTAACCAAACCTACTTAAAAATATGTGAGCCTTGGATTACTTGCAACCAATCGCATATATTCCCAAAATCATTTAAAGGAACTCAGGGATCATATAATGTTCCCAACCGAACGACCCGCAGTACTTAACACTGTGACATGAGGAATAATGGGGAGACCTACCTCCTTGCAAGGAGGTGCCATTTCTAACCTCCTAGATAAAGCATCCATAGAAAAAATAGCCAATATATTAGGCACAACAGAAGTCACATTGCAAAATATCAATAAATTAACATGGACACCTGTATTAAGAAACAATGGAGAATATATCCAGTAGCACCGCTCATAGCGAGACAGATTTACAAACCAATCAATCTGCTGCATCATGATCCTCGTCAATTTCCCGATCCGCATATTTATCGTCCAGAGCGTTTCTTGCCGGATAGCCCAAAATTACCGCTTTACAATTTCATCCCTTTCAGTGCTAAATCACGAAACCGTATCGGCTCGAGATTTGCCACATCAGTTATCAAAGTGGCTGTGTTATCCGTGCTAAAAGCTTTCCGCGTGGAGGCCTTCGATACAGAAGATCAATTGCGTTTTATATCGGAATTAGTAAATGCGAGCGAACTTCGTCTATAAATAACACCACGTTAACAAGACGAAAAACCTGTAAAAACTTTACGCCCGACAATCATGAAACCTCTAACCAAACCTACTTAAAAATATGTGAGCCCTGGATTACTTGCAACCAATGGCATATATTCCAAGAATGATTTAAAGGAACTCAGGGATCATATAATGTTCCCAACCGAACGATCCGCAGTACTTAACACTGTGGCACGAGGAATAATGGAGAGACCTACCTCCTTGCAAGGAGGTGCCATTTCTAACCTCTTAGATAAAGCATCCATAGAAAAATTAGCCAATACATTAGGCACAACAGAAGTCACGTTACAAAATATCCACAAATTAACATGGCTGGACACCTGTATTAAAGAACAATGGAGAATATATCCAGTAGCACCGCTCATAGCGAGACAGATTTACAAACCAATCAATTTAAGTAAATATCTTTCAATTCTATTTTTCGGAAAATCGATATATCCCTCTTCACGAGACTTCCAACAAAATATTATTTACTTGATAATATTACTGCGTTATTATTTCATATCTCTTAATGTTATAATATAGATATATAACATTATCAGTTGATATAAATAATAAACATTTGTAGAGTATATTTTTGTTGAACAATTGTTAAGCAACAGATTTTAAGATGTATTTCCTAATATTACAAATGTAATTAAGAATTGTGTAATGTAAACGAGGACTTTTCTCTTATCTATATTTTTATGTTTCTAGTGGGTAACGAAATTCCATCAGGTTCCACAGTTCTCATCAATTCTTATTTGCTGCATCGTGATTCTCGTCACTTTCCCGATCCGCATATTTATCGTCCGGAGCGTTTCTTGCCGGATAGCCCAAAATTACCTCCTTACACTTTCATCCCTTTCAGCGCTGGATCACGAAATTGTATCGGCTCAAGATTTGCCACATCGGTCATCAAAGTGGCTGTATTATCTGTGCTAAAAGCTTTCCGCGTGGAGGCTTTCGATACAGAAGATCAATTACGTTTCATATCGGAATTAGTACTAGTAAATGCGAACGGACTTCGGCTAAAAATAACACCACGTTAACAAGACGAAAAATTCTATTTTTAAAATATATGTCCTATTTACTTTGTATATTCTATATATTTTTGTTGCTTGATAGAATACATATCCTATATATTGGAAAAGGAATTTATAGAAAAAAAGAGAGAGATAGTCTTCTGGTACTAGATTAAACCTAACATAAAATGGTAGTTTTAATCTAGTAACAAAAGTCTATCTCTTTCTCCTTTTCTATAATTTCCTTTTCTAATATATAGGATATGTATTCTATCAAGCAACAAAAACATATAAAATATATAGAATAAATAGGACATATATTTTAAAAATAGAATATTTCGTCTTGCTAATGTGGTGTTATTTTTAGACGAAGTCCGTTTGCATTTAAAAGTACTAATTCCGATATGAAGCGCAATTGATCTTCTGTATCACAAGCCTCCACGCGGAAAGCTTTTAGCACGGATAACACAGCCACTTTGATGACCGATGTGGCAAATCTCGAGCCGATACAATTTCGTGATCCAGCGCTGAGAGGGATGAAAGTGTAAGGAGGTAATTTTGGGCTATCCGGCAAGAAACGCTCCGGACGATAAATATGCGGATCGGGAAAGTGACGAGGATCACGATGCAGCAGATAAGAATTGATGAGAACTGTGGAACCTGGTGGAATTTCGTTACCCACTAGAAACATAAAAATATAGATAAGAGAAAAGTCATTGTTACACAATTCTTAATTGCATTTGTGATATTAGGAAATACATCTTAAAATCTGTTGTTTAACAATTGTTCAACAAAAATATATTCTACCAACGTTTATTATTTATATTAACTGATAATGTTATATATTTATGATATATAATATTAAGAGATATGAAATATAACGCAGTAATATTATCAAATAAATAATATTTTATTGGAAGTCTCTGAAGAGGGATATATCGATTTTCCAAAAAATAGAATTGAAAGATATTTACTTAAATTGGTTTGTAAATCTGACTTGCTATGAGCGGTGCTACTGGATATATTTCCATTGCTCTTTAATACAGGGCATCCAGCCATGTTAATTTATGGATATTGTGCAATGTGACTTCTGTTGTGCCTAATACATTGTAATATTTGTCCAAGATCTTTTTCTAAGAAAAAGGATAATTATAAATAAATCTTCTTTGAAAATATATCAAATATCAATTTTTCTAAGTTTATTTAGATGAAAAATTTCGTTCTCTCTTTATTTCGCATAAAAATAATGTAAATGTCAAAGATTCATCAAATTCCAAGGAGAATTGCTAAAAATGTTAATGCAATAGGACATACCTGATACTCGGGATATCGCTCCAACGCGTAAAGCGTACAGGATATGCTGGTAGCCATCGTGTCATATCCGGCATACATAAAAGTATTTACCTCGTCACAAATATCCGCATCAAAAAGATGTACAGTTCCGCTTTTAGATATATCGAGCAATAAGTACAGTAGGACCTGTTTCTTATTCGGCGATTTTGTTGAAGTTCCGATCATGTTTCAGCTGCCATTCCATTTTTTTTGCGCGATTACCTATGAATGAAGCATCCCGTATATACGTCGAAAGCGAAAATATTATATATCAATTTTTTAACTATTTATCTCTATAATTATGCCTGAAAAGTCTCGATATCAAAATGCACTAAAAAGAGAAAGAGATTCGCTTTTTCTTAGATATAGTGTTATCTGAATTAGAAATTGAAACCGTAATTTAATTTTTGAAATTTAGTGTTCGATTTCATTTCAAAATTGCACTAAAATTGCAATAATAATAAAAAAATAGTTAGTTCGATGAAATTTAAATATGAAAATCGCAATATTATAATAACTAAATCATCCCGATTCGTAGTTTTCATTTGAACTTCGCTCCGTGAAGTTTCGTGAAATTGTCACACTAAAAAGTGACTATAAAAACTGTAATCATTTGAATTTATTTAACTTAGAATTTTCGTTACTTTATCAACATATCAACATTTATGGTCTTGAATGATACGAAGAGCATGATCATGCTCCTTTCCTGCTTTGGTTAACTTGAAAATTTTATCATTTGATATCCACACATTTGTGAAACGCATTTGTACAATAGATGCAATTCTGAAAATTAAAAACGGGATTTTTTTAACATAATTTCATTATGTAACTTCAACATTGTATGTTGTATGAAATGCGAAAGAAATCCATGTAAAAATCTGTGTAAACATATTTCAAGCAAAAGACACTTACTTGTCTACAGCTTCTACATATTGGTTTTTGAAATTTATTTGAGCATTTAGTTTATAGCATTTAGTTTATAGCAGATTCTACAATAAATTTATATTGAAAGCAACATATAAGTTTATTTTATTTTAAATAAAAAAATTTTTTATCTATGACTGTAATAAGATAATTGATAAATAATTTAACAATTTAATATTTTTTCTTAACTAATATATTATACACTAATTATATGTAAATTGTTAAAAAATTATTATGAAGTTATTTATTTGCAACAATGTTTAAAACAATATTGTATGATGTAATTTCATTGAAAATTAATAATACTAACTAATAATTAATAATTAATAATATTATGAATTACAAATAAAACAATTATATCGTATATTTCAAAACAACTTAATTGTTTTTTTGTTGATTTGTTTGTTGTTGAAAGAGTGGAAAAGAGATAGAAAAAGAAAAGCAAAAAGAGATAGATTTTTGTTACTAGATTATAACTAACATTTTATATTATTATTTGTTATTATATATAAACTTTATTCACTTCAACTTAGAGCGAGACTTGATTACAATTTGCTTATCTTCATTCATACTGCGCTTCCTCGTTCACTCTTTATCTCATACGTTTATACGCAGAAAATAAAATTTTCTTGTTTTAAGTAAATACATTTTTTTGAATTATAATTTCTAAAGTAAAAGAAATAATTACTTCCAACAATAAAATATTTTTTGTTGCAAAGAAATATCTCCAAAACAAATAATTTATCAATGAAAAAAATGTTTTATTGGAACAAAAACACAATTACTTGTCAGTAGAAAATCGTTTTATCAAACTTAATAAATGAATTATTTAAACATAACAGTTATTAAGAAGTGAAAATTGTTTTAGAATTTATGACATAAATACTAAAAATAATTTATTAATTACTTTTATCAATTAATACATACATATATATATATATATATATATATATATATATATATGTATTAATTGATACAAGTAATTAATAAATTATTTTTAGTATTTATGTCATAAATTCTAAAATAATTTTCACTTCTTAATAACTGTTATGTTTAAATAATTCATTTATTAAGTTTGATAAAACGATTTTCTACTGACAAGTAATTGTGTTTTTGTTCCAATAAAACATTCTTTTCATTGATAAATTATTTGTTTTGGAGATAATATTTCTTTGCAACAAAAAATATTTTATTGTTGGAAGTAATTATTTTTTTCTATTTATAAATTATATAATTCAAGAAAATGTATTTACTTAAAACAAGAAAATTTTACTTTCCGTGTATAAACGTATGAGAGTGAACGAGGAAGCGCAGTATGAATGAAGATAAGCAAATTGCAATCAAGTCTCGCTCTAAGTTGAAGTAAATAAAGTTTATATAATAACAAATAATAATATAAAATGTTAGTTATAATCTAGTAACGAAAATCTATCTCTTTCTTCTTTTCTTTCTGTCTTTTTCCCTCTCTTTCTAAAAGCAGTCATCAAGTTGTCTTGAAATATACGAATTGTTTTATATGTAATTCATTATATTATTACAGTTAATTATTAGTTAGTATTGTTATTAATTTTCAATGAAATTACATCACACAATATTGTTTTAAACATTGTTGCAAATAAATAACTCACAAACTTTATAATAATTTTTTTACAATTTACATATAATTATTGTATAATACATTAGTTAAGACAAAATATTAAATTGTTAAATTGTTTATCAATTATCTTATTGCAGTCATAGATAAAAATATTTTTTATTTAAAATAAACTTATATGTTGCTTTCAATATAAATTTATTTCAGAATCTGCAATGGGTTAAAAACTAAATGCTCAAATAAATTCCAAAAACAAATATATAGAAGCTGTAGACAAGTGTCTTTTGCTTGAAATATGTTTACATAGATTTCTTTTCGCATTTCATACAATATACAATGTTGAAGTCATATAATGAAGTTACAGAATTTTAGAATTTTAGAATTGCATCTATTGTACAAATGCGTTTCACAAACTTGTGGATATCAAATGATAAAATTTTCAAGTTAACCAAAGCAGAAAAGGAGCATGTTCTTTATATCATTCAAGACCGTGTTGATAAAGTAACAAAAATTCTAAGTTAAATAAATTCGAATGATTATAGTTTTTATTGTCATTTCCTAGTGTGACAATTTCACGATACTTCATGGAGCAAAGTTCAAACCAAAACAACGAATCGGGATGATTTAGTTACCATAATATTACGATTTTCATATTTAAATGTCATCGAACTATTTTTTTATTATTATTGCAATTTTAGTGCAATTTTGAAATAAAATGGAACACTAAATTTCGAAAATTAAATTAAGGTTTCAATTTCAAATTCAGATAACACTATATCTAAGAAAAAGGGAATCTCTTTCTCTTTTTAGTGCATTTTAATTTCGAGACTTTTCAGGCATAATTATGAAGATAAAAAGTTAAAAAATTGATATATAATATTTTCGCTTTCGACGTATATACGGGATGCTTCATAGGTAATCGCGCAAAAAAAATGAAATGGCAGCTGAAACATGATCGGGACTTCAATAAAACCGCCGAATAAGAGACAGGCCCTACTGGACTTATTGCTCGATATATCTAAAAGCGGAACTGTACATCTTTCCGATGCGAATATTCGTGACGAGATAAATACTTTTATGTATGCCGGACATGACACAATGGCTACCAGCATATCCTGTACGCTTTACACGCGTTGAAACGATATCCCGAGTATCAGGTACGTCTTATTGCATTAACATTTTCTAGCAATTCTCCTTGGAATTTAATTTAATTTTTCTCCTTTGAATCTTCGACATTTACGTTATTTCTTTGTGAGATAGAGAGAGATCGAGATTTTTCATCTAAATTTAACTTAGAAAAATTGATATTTGATATATTTTCAGAAGATTTATTTATCCTTTTTCTTAGGAAAATATCTTGGACAAATGTTACAATGTATTAGGCACAACAGAAGTCACATTGCACAATATTCACAAATTTATATGGCTGGACGCCCTATTAAAGAGCAATGGAAAATATATCCAGTAGCATCGCTCATAGCAAGTCAGATTTACAAACCAATCAATTTAAGTAAATATCTTTCAATTCTATTTTTCGAAAAATCGATATATCCCTCTTCACGACTTCCAACAAAATATTATGTATTTGATAATATTAATGCATTATTATTTCATATTTCTTAATGTTATATATCTATGATATATTATCTATGATATATACATGATATATACATCTATATTATATACATCTATATTATATATTATATACATCTATATTATATACATTATCTATTATATATAACATTAAGAGATATAAAATAAACATTTGTAGAATATATTTTTGTTAAGCAACAGATTTTAAAATATTTTTCAATATTACAAATGTAATCGAGAATTGTGTAAACGAGGACTTTTCTCTTATCTACATTATTATAATTCTAATAAATTATATAAATTTTTCCAGATTTGACAGTTCTCATCAAATCCTATCTGCTGCATCGTGATCCTCGTCACTTTTCCGATCCGCATATTTCGTCCAGAGCGTTTTTTACCGGATAGCCCGAAAGTACTATTTTATACATTCATCCCTTTCAGCCTGTTCACGAAACTACATCGGCTTGAGATTAGTCACATTAGCTATCAAAGTGGCTGCTTTATTTGTACTAAAGCTTCAGCACGAAGGTCTTCAATACAGTGGATCAATTGCGCTTTATATCCGAATTGATTTATTCTATCCTACCAAGCAACAAGACAATTGGTCGGGATCGAAGCGTTTCCTTACAGACTTTCGGAATATATTCGATATGTAATAAAAAAATTTGTTTTTCTCAGGGATAATTATAAATTTTTAATAATAAATAATAATGTGATGTAGGCTGTGTTTATATAGGTTAATTAGATAAGAATAAGAGTATAAGCGTATGAAATAAAAAGTAAACGAGGAAACGCTGTACGAATGAAGATAAGCCAATTGTAATCAAGTCTCGCTCTAAGTTGCAATGAAGAATAAAGTTTATATATATTTAAAAATCACCTTTTATAAATAAAGTACAAAATATATATCTGAATATAGATCTGATATAAGTGATAACATGAGAAAAGTTAAAAAAACTCTAACTCTATAATCTATTTTAGAATTTATAAGGAATAAAAAATCGATGATACAAATTTTACTACAAATACTTGAACAAATGTCACTAAAGAAAAAAAAAGGATATGTTCGTCAAGCAGATTTTTTTTCTCCCGAGCTGCGTCACCAAGCAAAGGATCGAGATGTCGAGAATTATATATCTATCTTACCAATTAGATCTCGCGTATCCCTTCTCTCCTAGCTTAATTGTCACAAATAAAACATTAAAATTAATATTTAAATAAATTCTATAAATTATATAAATTATATTTATTATGCATGAATCAATTAAATCAATTAAAGAAATAAAGAATGGAAAAAGTATAAATGATAGAAATCCCCTCTTAGCCATTATGTACGCCTTTCTTTAAAAAAAATCACCTTATTAATTTAAAAAAATATATTTATTGTTAAAATAAAAACTAAATTTAAACAATATAGACAATATATAACATAAAAGTTAAATTATTATTACGTACAATATGTTAAATAAGTTATTCTAATAACCTTTTGCTAATAATAAATATATGTAATAAAATAAATAAATAAATAAATAAATAAATATATATATATATAATTTTTATATATAATATAATTTTATATATAATATTATTTTTATTTAAATTTTTATTTAAATTTTTTTATTTAAATTTAATTTAAATTTTATATATAATATTATTTTTTTTGTAAATAAGCAACATTATTAATATGGATGGAGTTTCCCCTTCGTGATCTCCTTTTTCGGAGAACTCCATCTCTTGGGGAAAGAGCTCCGGGGAAGAATTGGATTTCCCCTTCGAGGACTCTCCCTTTGTCTTTTTAGACGGAGAGCTCCTGCCCTTCTCGACTACAGTCGAAGGGAGAGCCATCTGTTCTCA